AGTGTTTTTTCCCACGTTTTCATGTCTGTGTAACCTGTGATTGTCCACTGAAAACTGGTGTGCTGAGGTATGACTCATACGATGACTTCTTTTTCACAATTTATTGCCTCCTGTAGATCACAGTGCACATTTTAATTGCCTTCTGGCTTCCTCTTACTGCACCTCTGCTTCCTAAACATACAAAAATACAGCGTTTACTCAAAGAAAGAGACGCTGAAATCTCCAACAAGCTACATTGGTCACATGACACGGCCCACCTGCCATGGTAAGAATGGCGGCTAGAAAGTTAAAATGAAAACACTACTAAAACTTATTTTAACGGTCGAACTAACACAAAACCGCGACGTAACATGACTGTATTGACATCAGACAATATGTGTTTAAAGTTATAACGTAAATGGTTCAATTTCCAAAGAAAACAATCCATCAGACCAGCAGGCAGCAGCACTTTTCCACACAACTTACCCTCAGCAGTGCAAAACGAGACTGAGGGAGACGGAGCACTATGAAAGCTTAGGAGGTACAGAAGGTATAGTGTGCAGCGAGGGTCATTTCCACAGGAAACATTAGCAAAAATAAAGATAAATAAAAATAACTCAATGATATAAAATTCATAAATATTCAATAAAATCATTAAATGATCAATTAAATTTACAGATGCTAAGTTGAAAATAAGAATTATTAAAGTGCATTTTTAAGTTACACGCTCGCAGTATGTTAAAGCTGTAACGGCCAGTATCTGTACATCTGCAGCTGCTTTTATCTCAAACAGTCAGAATGTGCAAATAAGTATTACTTTATGTCTGTGGTAACAAAGTTATGTCTTTGTGAAGCGTTAATGTTTCTTGTGACGGAGTAATCACAAGTGTTTATCATGCCTGACAAAATGTAATAAAATCAGCCTGTTGTGTTTGTGTGTGGCCCATGTTTAATATCCTTCTTTATATTTGGAAAACAGACTGCAGTCTTTAATTAACATGATTCACGGCTGGGTTAGGCTATAAATAAAATAAACTGAAGTGTCTCTCTTGCAGTTGTCCGTATGACATTAATTTTGCTTACTCTGTGCCGACCAATCCACCTTTTTACCAGTTGAAATATGGAGTTTGTAGTATTGCACTTGCCAAAAAGACAGAATATAGCTTGATCAGTCCTTATTACCAGCTGCAATACATTTAAATGGCCAATACAGCCAATAACGCCAATGCAGTTTTGTCCCACCGCACTACTTGTGACGTTAAGGTTCTCAAAATGAATTGATTTAAGACATGGGCATTATGAGCTATTGCTGACTATAGCTCCCCCAGTCCTTTGAAACTGTTGAAATACCTTTAAAGGGCCAATACAACCTGTAACAGGAAGTTTTCCACTTGCCAAAAAGTGACTGCAGCCTCGACCTTCTGACTTAAATAAGAAAAGATAGGCAACAAAAGTCTGACAGTTGGTTTTCTGAACTTTCTAAGGACTGAAACTACTGCCAGCTTTACAGTGTTGGTGTTGGTTGGGCACTGAGCAGTGTGCAAGCAGCTTAATGGGAACAAAATGTCCGATAAACTGGTCCAATAAACTGGTCCAGTACAGAGCGAGCGCTCTGCAGTCAGCAGCAGTGAGACAGGTCTGCAGTAATAGTAATCCTTCTGTCAGAGAGCTTGTTTCTGCTGCTGACAGGCTCAGATGGTTAATATGTCTGACAACATGATGGAAAGAATCTCTACAGAGAGAGAGCTTTTTTAAAGAGGAAGATGCTTTTTGTTTAACCAGAAACGGTCGCTATCGTTGTTGCTCTCGTCAAAGCCACCAGAGTCCATTGATAAAAACATTTTACCTCGCAGAGCATGAGATTTGCTGGTCCACGGCTGCCTCTGTCGGTTAGTTTTATGCTACTGTCTGACTTTGTTAGTTTTGATTGCTTTTGTTATTGTGTGTTTTAAAAGGTCAAAATTCCACAGAATGACACAAATGAACTGACCGAGGCAGCGGCGGACTAGAGAGGTAAAATTACTGCTTTTGTCAAGAGAGTCTGGATTACACTGCAGCCGACTGCAGTGATCTCGCTCAGTACTGGACCACCTTCGAAACCTGTAGTCTCAATCAGTCACAAAGACACATCAACATGGGGAAATAAGATGATCCCAGGAAATCTGATTACACATTTCTTCTTCTGTTTCCTCCTCTGATTAACGCTCGCTCTTTCTGCAGCTGAGTCAGCACATGAAGTTGAAGCTCCAGTTCACGGCCTCGGTGTCCAACCCTCCACCTGATGCTCGGCCGCTGTCACGTAAGAAGAAACATCGCTTTGTGTCCAACGCTATAAACGTCAGCGCTTTTTGAAAGTGTAGAAAGTTTTACAGCTGAACTCTGACAAGACAAGTATGATAACATTCTCACCTGATGCCAAGTAATAATGTCATAAATGTTACCAGATAATTTACATTTATTAATTATTTTACTGTAACATGTTGCACAATAACATCTAACACAGCAACAAAAGCGTCACAGACTCAGTAATAACACGCCGGCCACTTTTATTGCAGTATCAAACTAAAACATTTCAAATGTGCTGCTATAAGTTTTGTGTTTGAAGCCGTGTCTTGTTCTCTCCATCAGGTAAAAACAGCCCGTCCAGCCCGGCGGTTCGAGACCTGCTGGACCGACACCAGGCCAGTCTGGGCCGATCACAGTCATTTTCCCACCAGCAGCCGTCTCGATCCCACATCATGAGGTAACAGCAGTGGTGGAATGTAGCTCAAATACTACTAAGCTACTTTATCCTTCTACTCTACTACATCTCACAGGCAAATGTTGGACTTTTTAATCCATTTGTCTGACCGCTTTAATTATTAGTAGTTTATATCAAAGGGAAAACGAGATGAAGCCCTCAGCTGTGTGGGAGCACTTTAAACAGCAGTAGTGTGGCAGTTATGGCGTTTTTTACAATTGCTTAATGTCATTACAGTTCAGAACAGTCACATTTCCTACAAACAGCAACATAATGAACACATTTAAATAATTACATTAGGCCGATTGTAGAAGAAGAACATTTAGTCGCTATAATAAAAGTTAAAAATGAATTTTGCATAATAACGTGTTAGATTTAGTTCCGCTACCAGAAATACTAGCACTCATCCCGTCTGCTCTCCACATGGACCTATAATATAGTAGATTATAATTTTTAACATCTTTCCTGTCCCGTGAAAATCACGTATCTCCAAATGTGGAGATTTTGAATTAAATTTTTTTTTTGATAAACTGAAGAAGAAGAAGAGATTCTTTAAGGGCTGAGAAAGTTATTTTTTGTTACTTCTTAATCTAAATAAACTATTAAAGCTGACCTCAGATCAGCTAGAAACGGCTGTTTCTGTGAGCACATGAATAGTTTGCTTTTCAGAGATACAGAATGTTGTTCTCTGTGACAGGATGTAAAGCAGTTCTACAGCAGTAAAACGCCATGTATACATTAATGCAGCAGTAACATTAATCCTGTCGTAGGGTTGTTGTTGCACAAACTGCTCAAAATTATAGATAAAACTGATGTGCTATTTTGAGGGGACAGCAAATTTACACTGTTATACAAGCTGCACACTCACTACTTTACACTGGAGCAAAGTGTCATTTCCTCAGTGTTGTCACATGAAAAGATACTGTGAGATTCTGTATCTATCTATCTAAAAACATCATAATAGTATAACACTTATTACAACATTTACAACACTATGAGTATTTCTTACTTAAAGTACATTTTGCTGATAATACTTTACTTACTTTTTGAATGCAGGACTTTTACTCGTAGTGGAGTATTTTCTCATTACTCATTTTACTTAAGTAAGAGATCTGAATACTTTTTCCATCGCTGGGTAACAAACAAACAGCAGACAGACTCGGTCAGAGAGCAGCTGGTGAACATGGAGCATTTAGCAGCTAAAGAGCCAGACATTTCCCTCAGGAGAGAGAACACTGGATTCACCTTCATCAGGCTCCACATGAAGCATCGTGTTGCTCTGCAGCTGCAACTAACGATTCATTTCATTATTGATTAATCAGTTGATCATTTTCACGATTCATTCAGTTGCAGAAAACAGTGAAAAATATTATAAAATATCTTGTTTTGTCCACAACCCAAAGAAATTCAGCTTACTGTCACAGAGGAGGAAATAAACCAGAAAATATTCACATTTTAAAAGCTGGAATCAGAGAATTTTTACTTATCCGCTTGTTAAAAAATAAGTATAGTTATAGTGAATAGCAAACTAACGAACTGATTAATAGACTAATTGTTGCAGCTCTACGAACAACTTCACCACAGAAAAATCAGTTAGTGCAGGTTTAAAGTTTTGGATTAGAGTTTGTTTTCAGGTGTTTCCTGTTCATCACTAAACCCTGTGTTGTTCCCCATCAAGTTTCATCCAATCAGATTTGTGTGTGTGTGTCAGGACGGGCAGTGCCATGGAGCGGCGGGCCATCACCCCTCCTGTCGGCTCTCCGGTCGGTCGGCCGCTTTACCTGCCGCCGCAGGACAAAACGCTGTTGTCGCTGGACAAGATCGCCAAGAGGGAGTGCAAAGTCCTGGTGGTGGACCCCGTCAGCTAGGGAGCAAGGAAGCAAGGAGGGAAGCTCAAGGATGCAGTGAGGAGAGGCCACGAGTCAAAGGTTAACAGAAACACCTGAAAGACGGCGGGACGAGCCTCATCAGAAGGTTACAGAGAGAGAGGGAGAGGCACATTCAGGACTTCACTTTTAATTTCCCAGAAGCTTCGGTGTAACCTGCTGCCTCGTGTCATTTAAACAGGAACACAAGGACGAGACTCTGTGCAAAGTGTCTAAACACTGGGATCCAAACGGTGATGAACAAACTGACTGTACAGACTGTTAAATGACATATTTAATATAATGTATTATCGTGTTTCTGTATTATTTAAAGGTGAGAGACGTTTCGGGGGAAAAACGGTTTTATTATTATTAATTTGTGAGATCAGCAGAAAAAAAAAAAATCACACAGGTAATTGCTGAGTTCAACTTTTATTTCAGTGTTATCATCTGTTCACAATCAGTATCAGCAGGTTTCCTGTAATAAAATGTAATTTAACAAGTAATCACAGCTTTCTGTTCCCTTTGTTTCACAACCTGAACACAACCCTTCAGAAAACTAACTCTGTTCTGTTGTTGGTCACACTGGCAGCGTTCCTTTTACTCCAGACTGCAACTGTTGGCTTTATTATTTATTATTAAACTTTGGTTTCTGACCAAATACATATATTCCCATCAGCCTCAGCTGTACTTCGCTGCTAAATAGCAAATATAAGCATGCGAACATGCTAAACTGAGATGGTGAAAGCCCCGTCCCTTCCGGTGGACCGCCATGTGACCTTATTGTGAAAAAAATATGTACAATAGTCAACGGCGAGAGAAAACTAATGTTTTGATCCCGTTTGAATTGTGCTCTGAATTACACGCATGATGTTTGTCGGTTTAAAATGAACATTTGAAAGTTGCAGTTTGTTGGCTGTTGGCTGCTATCGATAGTGCCGACTTGCAAAAGTGGTGTCGTATTTATTAAACATAGCAAAATAGTTCGTGTTTTTGGGTAATAATGGCACATTGCTGCTAAAAGACACCCCAACAGGAACTAGCTGTTCAGTCCCTCCAGGATTTTGCAGCCTTTTTTTGTGATTTTGATGCAGCTTTTCTAAAAAACAGTGCGATGATTTTTGGCCTTTTTTGCGATGAAATTGTGGGAATAAGTGAAAACTTCAAAGTTCTGCTCTTTAAGATTAAATCATGCGACGGCTGCTAAGAACCAGCGCAGGATAGGTCAATTAATTGATTAGTAAATCAACAGAAAACCAATCAGGTATTTCTGTCTCGGAGGTCTTTTATCCACAACATGACCGTGTCTGCAAAAGAAAACAAACGGATGTAGAAAATTATAATAAATCAAATATTAAATCACATGCAGCTGATTACACAGACGTCATTCCTTTATAAAACGAGCACGAGTTGCTAAGGAAGAGGATTTAAATGGCCACGCTGTTCTCGACATGTGTGGGTAAGAGGTAAGGGTACGGCAGCTCCAGTTGGCTGTTGCGCTCTGTGATGTCATCAGAAATGGCCTTGAGTTCAGCCTGCACCTCCTCCACCAGCCTGCGGTGGGCGTCGTCTCTGAACACGGCCTCCTTGTAGTGACACAGAGGAACCTGCAGGGGGAGACAGAGCTGTTAAATCACATCAGGTTTGTGATTTATTTGATCTGAAAAAAAAACGTCTTGTAATAATCTGAAAGTCAAATACAAGATCAGGCCAAAGTATTTCTGTTAATAGGTGCGTTCGAGATGATGGCAGCTGACTTTCACTGAATTGATAGTCTAACGTGAGCTGCAGGTGACTGCATGGGCGGGGTATAAAAATGGCGCCGTCAAGTCGGCGGTGAGCAGACTGTGAGCGGAGATCAGTGACTGATCTCGAGGCGTTTGCAAAGAAATATGTTTGTTTCAACAAGGTTGTTTCTCTGACATATAAAACTGTAAAGTCACTGACTTTGGGTTTGCAGCTACACATACATTCTGTTGTTATCGATAAACATGATTGATTGTTTGTTTAAGAGTTTGTTTTAGCCGCCGAGCTCCCTGGAGACGAACTACATTCACACATGTAGAATTTAAAATAATTAAATGTAAAAATGTTTCCAACAGAACGAGGTGTTTGTTTTTCCCGCTGAGCAGACGGGATGGTGCGGGTGGAGACTCACAAAGTCGACGCTGGGCTGCGACAGCAGAGCCAGCACCGTCAGGACGCGACAGGTCGAGTTCACATCCGGCAGGAAGGACATGATGTCGTCCTCCGTCACCGAGCCTTTGACCTGCGGAGGAGGACGCAACATGGATGGCGGTCTGTTGGGCATCCAGAGGGCGAAATCAAACTGGAGGAGACAAAGAGAGGAAGAACAGCAGAGCACAAACTGATCAACCTGCACACAAGAACACTTTGTCTTAAAGGGAACCATTTCCACATGTTGGGAATTCAGCTGCGACAAAAAGTAGTCTAAAGTCAGATCTACGCCGTAGCCTGACGCACATCTCCCTAAAATCTTAGCTACATGCCTCCGCGACGCAGACCAAAGAACTTTGATTGGCAGGTTTGGTCTCGTCACATTTCCCCCTAAATACCACTATGGCTCAAGGATCATACTCGCCGCTTCCTCTGACGCCTTCTGTCGTTTCCGTTTTAGTAATTTCACAAAAAGTACTGCTGTCCAGAATCGATCAGCTCCAACTTGATCCGCTCGCTTTCAGTCGCCACGGTTTGTAGCAGCCAACACCAACGAAGAAGAAGAAAGTCAACACAGGGGAACATAGAAACCCCGCCTCCAACTAGCGATTTGGCGACGCAGACACCAACGCAGAAATTGAAATGCTCACGACGGCACATAGTCCACGCCGTCGTAAGCATCTGCTGGGGAGGAGGCTACATTAGCCGCAACTAGCACAACAATCTCTGAACCAAAGTGTCTGTGATCGAGTTGCATTGTGGGTAATGTAGGCGCCAGATTTTGACAACAAAGAAAAATGTGTGGAATAAAAAGATAATGATTCTGCTGCAGCAACTTAGATCCTTTTTATAAAAAACTGACCGTCAGGAGTAGGGATGGGAATCGCTGGGTACCTCACGATACACGATAATATCACGATACAGCAATTCTGCGATAATCGATATATCGCTGGACAACCCTAAAGTGATTCAGCATGATATCTATCTATTAATACAAAATGTAAAAAAGTTCTCTCTATTTGTTTGTTGCAAATCCAAACAGCACGATTCTGCTGCACAGTCTGTAAATAAAAATACAGAGAAACTACAAAAAATTATCAAAACATTTGTTTATAAAAGGCAAATCAAATGCTAAAATATTTTTTTTACTGCTAATAAAAATTGCTGTTCACCACCTGAGTCTAATCTGTACATCACATTATGTTAATAACTGTTCAGTGACACAGTGTTGTGCTGCTCTTTCTCTTCCTGCTGATAGCTGCATGTTTAGGCCACTGGAAAGTTTGGAAGCAGCAGATCAAGCCGGTGAAGTTAGCAGCTCTTTTTTATTTCACACAGAGCTCAGGAAACATATGTATGGAAAGCCCTTTGAGCATTTATTCGATATCCTACTTGTATTCATTTATTTGGTCTTACTAGTAAGCCAAAAGTTTTAACTAGTTGGCTTTTTTGTGTACTAATAAGCACATTTGCCTTACTAGTAAAGCAAAAGTGTCTACTAGTACTACTAGTAAGCCCATTTTCATACATTTTGCCTTTAAATAAAGCGTAAAAATGTTTACTAGTAGTACTAGTAGACACTTTTGCTCTTACTAGTTATACTAGTGAATGTCATTTTGTCTTTTACTAGTAAAGCTTTTTACCAAACTAGTAAGGTTTTTGACTACACTAGTAAGAAATTGTTCTTACTAGTATGGCATTTTGGCATACTAGTAAACACTTTTGGCATACTAGTAAACACTTTTGGCATACTAGTCGACAACTTGACCTTACTAGTAAGACAAAAACGCTTACTAGTAAGCATCTGCGCGCGAATAGTAGTAGTAGTAAGGTCCTATGTTTTTACTAGTTAAAATTTAGGAAACAGAAACACTGTGTCACTGAACAGTTATTAACATAATGTGATGTACAGATTAGACTCAGGTGGTGAACAGCAATTTTTATTAGCAGTAAAAAAAAATATTTTAGCATTTTATTTGCCTTTTATAAACAAATGTTTTGATAATTTTTCGTAGTTAAAATTTAGGACCTTACTAGTAGTACTAGTTGCACGCAGATACTTACTAGTAAGCATTTTTGTTAAAGGACATTTCCATTTTATGTTAGCATTGAGCTAACCGTCGAATCGCTTTTTGTATGGACATGACGGGCTGGAACATCGATACAGTTTCATGGAAAAATGTATAATATATGTATATCGATTTATCGCTGTATGGATTTTTTGGCACAGCCCTAATCAGGAGTCAGACGTGTGATTCTAAACCAGCCGAAGAAGAAACGAGCTATTTCAGACGGTCTGGCTGCTTTAAACACGCACAGATACCACTGGCTTTGGAAATCCCAACACGCAGGAAGCCTCCACAGGTGTTTTTAAATCAAGATGGACGCTGCGGTCATGTGACGGGTTCTGCAGGTCGCCCACCTGGGAGAAGTTAACAGCGGCGTGTAGAGCTGAGCAGCAGTAGATGACCATGGTGACGAACTTGGACACTTCTGCTTTGGTCTGGAAAGACTGGGGGAAACCTGTCGGAGGAGGGGAGACTCGTTATGCATCCACTTCGTCTGTGTCTCCAACAAACAAACACACAAACAAGCAAACAAACACCTGAGTCTGGGTTGAATCCGTGTGCGTTGATGTCGGTGATCCAGTGTTGAAGCTCAGAGTCCTGCAGCACCTCGTCGTCTCCGCTGTAATACAGATCCACCCAGCCGATTACAAACCTGCAACACACACACACAGGTGGTTATGTGCGTTACATTTCAGTAGACATTTACAGGAACAATGGAGAAGACTCTTCCTGGTCTGTGCATTTTTCTTTGCAAATGCACCGAAAGTCGGACGCAATTTCTAACCAGCATGCCTTATTTTAAGTCCAGCACGCATCACGTTAAGTCAGCGCTGCGTCGCATGAAGTCAGACGCACCTAATAAATCATCAAACAGTAACAGTCTGTCTGGTTGTCATTTGCATTTGGGGAATCTAGAACCGTGGACTGGATAAGACCCGTGCGTTTGGATTCTGCTTTCTGCAGTGAGCATTTTACCGTCCATCAAAGTCTCTCTGATCTGCCGGGAGCTGCTACGCCGAACAAACGTCACCTCATGTGGAGTGGTGGTGGCGCATAGATAAGACGAGCATGTACTTCCTGCGGCAGCTGAAGAAGTTCAGCCTGCCAAAGACAATGATGGTGCACTTCTACACCTCCAACATTGAGTCCATCCTCACCACCCATAAAAACAGTTTCTTCCCATCTGCAGCCTCATTAACAAGACCCGTGTCCCCCACTGACTCTCCCTGCACATGTAAATATCACTTCATGTCATATCATGCACGAACCTGGCACTTTGCACATATTTGATGTTAATTGTTAATCTTTGTTGTTGTATATTTTTATAATGTCAATTTATATATTTCGCTGCAACACGTCTGCACAACACAAACCCAGAATAATACTATAATAACTATAATATATATTTATATATATAATATATTTAATATACTAATAATATGTAAATATCTGCAATGTTGTTCTTTCTCTGCTAATAGTTGTATCATAACTTGCATTTGTTTATTCCATATTTATATATTTCTACATCTATTTATGTCAGCTGCATGTCTGTCTACGTGTAGCACCTCATCGGCAAAGTATGTGTAAAACATTACTTAGCAATAAAGATCCTTCTGATTCTGTGAGGTCAAACTCGTGTTTTTGTAAATTTCCAAAGACTGCTGGGAAAAAACTAAATGACTCAAAATAAAATCTCTCTTATTTAATAAAAAGCTGGAAAGTGATCTTTGATTTCAAATGATGCAGAAAGTGTTCCAGTTTCTCTCAGCTGGCCTAATCAGCCGGCTGAGGTGTGTTTGTTCACCTGTGCAGCGCGTCCCAGACTCTCAGTGCGTCCTGGGCGTAGTAGCTCTGCGGCAGTCTGTCCACACCGCGCTCGATCACGTCGTCACAGACGCACAGAGATGAATAATAAATCCTTTCTGACGCCCGGGACAGGAGGACAGGTAGCGCCTTCAGACCGCAGCCCATCGCCTGGAGGGAGGAGACCAACACAAGGACAGGTAGCTGGTGCGGTGCAGCTTCCACACCTAATATTCCTGTGACAGGCGATGATGTACCTTATCAAACACTCCGTCAGAAGCCAGCAGCGAGGCTCTGGCCTGGATGTTGATCTGTAGCGACGTCCTGAGGTGTGGCATCAGCAGCTACTCGCAAAAACAGCCAATCAGAGAAGAGAAAACTGATTACAGAGAAATTTAACCAACGGAAAGTGATCAGTCACATGTGATCCTCCTTAAACCTGCAGTAACTGATGATTCTGTCCTGCTGCTTTTAGCTGAAACAAGCACAACATTAACATATCATCGGCTTTTAAGTTGACGTGTCACTATGTTCACTAGCTGGCGTACGCCGGCTTTTCACAACTTCTTCTCTGGAAACGAGAAACTCTGAGAGCGGATTTATTGAATATTAACTGAAGCCACTCTAATAAACAGCTGGAGCAGCAAACAGCCAGTGTACCAGCTGCACACCTGCATGATGCCTGGATGTTGCTCGTCAGTGTTGTGGTTTTGTCCTGTTTTATTTTGAAAGGGTTCTTCCTCGTGTGTCTCGTTTCCCTGATTGTGTCCACCTGTGCCTCCCTCTTGTGCTCTAAAGGCCCAGTCCAAGACTTTGAGGTGCATTCCCGGTGAGTCCGTGAGGGCTTAGGGAACAAGCCCGGAAACAAACAAGAAACAAACCAGCATGGAAACCAACGCTGATGTTAAAATTGTTAAAACTTTTCTTAACATGGATTTAAGATGGTAACATCAATATTGACAAATGTAGACTGACATCTACCTCTCCTCCACTCTGCAGGGCGAGAGCCTGCAGGACTTAAAAATCTGGCAAAAACATACGTTTACATCCCGTTTACAGTATTTTCAGCCCTTGCAGCCTCTCGCACTCAGATTAGATTATTTTAGATTGGGCCTACGTCTCTGTCTTTGCTTCAGCGTTTGGCGGATCTTATGTTTGTCCAGAGTCTCTCTCTGTTTTCGATTAACCTTCAGACTGCAGGCCAAAGTGACCCAAATCCGATCTGATCTATTTATGACAGTGTGAACAGGCCAAGTCACATGGAATCCGATCTCTTCCGGTTTGGATTTCGGCTACTTCCATATGTGGTTCAAATACGATACAGATCGGGTCTTTTTAAATGCGACCTGACTCTAGAGCTGCCTTTCTGCTGCAGACGGAGCTGCTCTGAACGAAAAAGCTTCACAAAAAGCCATTATTAAACATGTGCTCGCTATCACCTGCTCACAGATTCCCTGTCTTACACCTGAAATCCACCGGACCGCCAGCTCTCTCCTGAGTTATGTGCACGCTGTTTGTCTGAGGGTGTTTTGGAGCAGTTGCGTTGTTCAGCGCCGGAAACCCTAAAGAAAAGAACAGTTCAACTATAATGTGAACTGTCAAACAAACAAAATCGGATCTGGGAAAAAGATCGGAATTGAGCATTTGAGCACTTGGAGGCTCCGTTCAGTGGTGGATTCTGAATTCTGCTTTCTCAGTTTGGCCTTTTGCTTTTCGTTGGATTTTATGATTTCTGCCTCCCTGAACCTCCATGTAAGTCAAAAACTATTTCATTAAACACTGTTAACTGCATCTATTCCACCTAAAGGTCATCAGCATTGGCGTCTGAGTCACCTGGTGCAGTGGGTGTGGCTCCGGCAGCTGTCGCAGCGTGGCCACGCAGCACAGCTCCCCCAGCATGTGAGTCCTCAGGTAGTGGGAGGCCAACTGGTGACACTGGAAGTCTGCACTGTAAACCCAAATCTTAGCCAGCAGCCAATCACAGCCGGGGTCAGAGGGCAGGAAGACGGGGTTCTGAGGGCCGGGTGTCTGCTGCAACTGAAGAAGAGGAAAATCACTGATTGGTTGGCTGATTGACGGGGGGGGGGGGCTAAGTCCTGTACTTCATGGTAAATAAACTTTACTTGAGTATTTCTATTTGATTTCACCTTCTACTTCTGCTCCGCCACGTTTATCTCACAGCTTCAGTTACTAGTTGAACAGTAGACTGTTTTTTACACATGACTCATCAGTAACAATAATGAGGATTTAAGAACATATTACTGATAATACTTTTACTTAAGTAATATTCTGAATGAAGGACCTTTACTTTTAGTGTAGTTTTACATTCTGATTCACTTTTACTAAAGGTATAAGAAGAAGGTACAAGTAGATTTATTTTGTCACAATAAAACAGGATATAGAGTAAAACTGAGTTTGTAACTCCCTTCTGCTAAACAGCAGACAAAATACATTAATACAGAAGCAACTATAAAAATAGAAATAAGCTGTGCTGAGGATGAATTAGAGTTTAAGAGATAGCTGCTGGTGGTGCAGCAGCAGAAACTTCTACATCTCTTCCCAGCATGCAGCGGGGTGAACAGGCTGTGGCTGGTTGGGTTCTGTCCTTTAGGATCCTTCGGGCTCTGCAGGCACCTCACCGATCTCACTGATGCTCAGGAGATGGGCACCAATGATCTTCTGGGCAGTTTGAATCCATCATCCTGGGCTGTGCACATCCCATGTTACTGATGTTTCCAGTCAGGATGCTTTCTGTTGCTCCTCTGTGAAAACTGACAAGATCTTGGCGTGGGACTTTGGCCTTTTTAAGCTTCCTCAAGAAATACAGTCTTTTTTTCTTTTATTTCTTCCCCAGCGTGGAGACGACCACGTCAGGTTCTCTGTGATGCTGATTCCCAGGAACCTGAAACTGCTCCACCTCAGCTCCACCTCAGCACCGCTGATGTAGACAGCAGTGTGTCTTCATCTCCTTTATCTCTGAGCACCACTCTGCAAGATTATGAATTTCCTCCTGATGTGAAGTCTCGTCGTCGTAGGGTTGGGCTGACAGATGGTTGATCGTGATTGTAGATTATACCTCCACGTGAAAGCAGGTTTTAATCACCACGAACAATATTATTATAAATTTTAAATATGCTTTGCACCTTCCTCAGAATTCTCTTCTCCCCACACCTCAGGTAAACACACCGGCTTGCCCCGCCTCTCTCTGTCTCCTCGTCATTGTTCTATATTTTTCCTCTATATTTTATTATGACGCAGCCTATCAAACAACCGACACCTGCACCCTGTGTGTTCACTGCTGCTTTACCTGGTCCCTGCTTGAAAAATATCCACCGTGACGTCATTTCAAGTTTTTACGCCCATAAGACACCCGGTAGTCATCAACCGATGTTTTAATGTTAAGCACTAGAGTGGAGGAGGTGAGTCCGCCAATCCGAAGTGACTGTTTGTGAGGAAGTCCAGGATCCAGCTGCAGGATGCTGAGTTTGCTGATCAACTTCATGGGGAGATGATTGATCGATTAAGTGACGATACTAGTGGCAGCAGTATCAACACCCAGTGCTTTCTGAAGGTAGATTGAAAAATGACATTTGAAAGTACACAGCAGCATTACGTGTATCAAAACACCCGGAGCTCACCTGGATGGCGATGGGGAGCAGCTGGCCCTGCTGGTTCAGGTGGAGGAGGCACATCGGAGCAGACAGATACGTCTGCTTCCCGTTGACCACATTGGCTGGGACGCCGTCCAAAACTTCAAAGTCCAGCAGGTACATGGTTCCTTTCTGTCACGTCACAGAACATCAAGACAGAGCAGCTGAAATAAATAAGCACTGCCTGGCACCAATGAACAGCTGGAGGTCAGAGAACGCACCTCTAGCTCCTGCTCGAGGGAGGAGCCTTCAGGCAGGAAGGGGCGGAGCATGTCAGAGCTGACGGACAGGTTTGGAGGGAGGAGGCGGGTCTGACGCAGCAGCAGAGGGTTGCAGCCATTCAGACACTGGTAGCCAAAATACCAGTCCTCCATCCAGTGAGTCTTTACAAACCCTGACGGAGAGATAAAAGAGCAGTATGGGTCATAAAAAACAAAAGCTACAGGCTGTGTGTCAACATGCGCTCCGCTTTCCATTGACTTCATTTGCAATCAAATATCCCCTAAAATTAGCCCTGCATCCTGTCTAAACACATCCTTACAAACTAATTTGCAAAGCAGTAAATGCTCTGTATTTGTAAAGCGCCTTTCTAGTCTTTGCGACCCCTCACCGCGCTTTACGCTACGTCACATTCACCCCGTTTACACACTGATGGCTAAGGTGTAAGTTGCCCATCAGAAGCAGTGTCATCAGCCAGTTTTGTGATGCTGAAGAAAAGGATTTGCTGGTTTGAATGTGTAATGTTTTGATTCTTACAGGCGGTGTTGTTCTGGTGTCCGCTGTGGGTGAAAACCGTCTCCAGCTCTGCGAAACCCGGCCAGGCCTGAGTTCTGTCCAGGAAGCCTTTCAGGTAGTGCACGTTAGTGACTGGACTGAGGACAAGAACACAAGCACAGCTCAGACTCCTCAGCACTAATTCATGCATTTGTCCCAAGTCTAGTTCAGTGTCTTCCCACGCTCACCAGACCTCAGTCAGAACGTACTTTAAGAGTGGCACTTCACCTCTTGTGTGTGTAGCTGAGGTTCGGCCCGAGTTCAGAGATACTCTTCAAGTCAACGCATTGAGGAGCGCCGTCGACAAATTTACGCCATCTGCAATAAGAGAACGAACATCTCAAAACCACAAAGAGTTCATAGTTAGATGTTCTCACAGATTTTGGGTCTAAAACTCTGCCCACCGGCGTAGGGGGGTTCAAACTGTGGTGCGACACTTTAGTTTATATAACCTCTGAGTTACTTAAAATTATATTTGCCCTGTTGACTCAAAATGTAGTTCCTACTATGGACTCTAGGTGTTACTAGAGTCTAAACCCCGTCCCCTTCCGGTGGACCACCATGGGACCTTATTTCAGAAAAATATTGTACGGTAACGTTAGTCAACGGCGAGAGACAACTACTATTTTGATCCCGTTTGAATTGTGCCCTGAATTACACACATGATGTTTGTTAATTTAAAAGGTAAATTTAAAAGTCAAGAAAGTCGCAGTTTTTTGTAAAACTCTTGAGGTATCAGACTGTGAAAATACATAATTACAAAGACCCCAAACCCAAAAGTCACGTACATGATGTTGTAACTTTTTATGTCAATGACTGAAGCTAACGTTACTGAAGCTAACGTCAAAAAACTTACATAAGAGGATGATGTGATAAAAGGACAGAGTCGTTGGATTAAACACATCAGGTGAGATGCGTGGAACAGAGCTGAGTTGTCTAGCTAGTAGCAAGAAAGCAATGAACGTTAGCTTAGCATTACCGCGCTAACATGTTGGTGACATATATTGTGCGAGAAAGAGATGTAGTTCATTGAACGGGTTTCACACAAAACGACACGTAACTTTACTCTTTTAGGAAAAACTGCGACTTTCTCGACGGACAAAATTATCTTTTAAATTGACCAACATCATGTGTGTGATTCAGGGCTCAGTTCAGACAGGATAAAAAGATAGATTGTCTCTCGCCGTTGATATATACATACGTAACTTAAATTACGTAAGATAAGTAAAAAAGTTATATAAGTTACATAACATCACGAAAAGGAATCAACGCTGACATTTTGAACACAGGCCTCTTGGGTGAAAGTCCATTTTTTGTCCCACCTGTCCACTTCAACCACCTTCTTACTTGGACTTTTCTTTTTTTTCATAGTAGTTCTTTTAGCATTGAACAATGGTGCTAAAGGGTGCCGTGTGTTGGCACCAGGCGCCAAAAGATGTGACAAACCATAGCTATTTGACACTGTAGGAATGAAAACGGGCTGGCTTTTTCTAAACCAAAGAGGCTTCGCAAGTCACCAACACTAAACATGGCAGCGGTACCAAGAAAGTGAAAAGTCATATGTCACCAGGGAAGTCAGAGTTACAGCTGATGGTCTCCGGGCCATGACAGGTGTGCAGAGTAGAAAGGCATCCCTGGTGTTAGCGAGGAGGGGAGGCCGTGAAACTGTATTGAATCATACATCTGTAAGCACCTCTAGAACTGTTGTATTTACTGAAATCAGAACATGACAAGGTCACATCCAAGCAGGAACCTCTAATATTATGTAGCTGCAATACCAGAGGCTGCAGTTTCAGGACCCACGCAATCCTGGGACCGCAGCTCTTTTGCGACAGCGCCATCTAGAGGAGTTGTGGTGGTAATGCACAGCAACATGAAGGAGGTTTAACCCTGTTGATAGGTAACAGGTCAACATGCATATAATCAATAACTTAGGTTCAGGCACACACCCTGTGATGGTTGTGTTACTGCAGCTACATGCTACTTGGCACCTAATGGTCTGAAAAGTAAAGCCTTAAACCTGCGTCCTCTCCAGCAGCCAGCAGGGGGCGACTCCGCCGGCTGCAGAAAGAAGTGTGATTGTATAGAAGTCTCTGAGAAAATGTTTCTACTTCTCAGCTGATTTATTCCCTCAGTAAACACTTTCCTGATGAGTGTCTGGTCTCAGTCGCTAGTTTCAAGTTTTCTTCAACACAGCATGATGTTCATTTAGTAAATTATGGTCCCATTTAGAGGAAAATAGACCAGAAAGTTTTAGGGCGGGGCTACAAGCTGATTGACAGGTCTCTACCATGGCGCCCTGTCAATCAGGATAGAGGCGACTCGTATCCGCTGCTCTGTGTACATTTAACCAGCGCTGCTGAAAAAGCTTATCAGGAGTCTGCTGCTCATTTTTAAGGTAAGTATGTTTGGTTTTAAGCCTGTTTGTCGCTAGCCAAAATTAGCATCCCAGCTAATATCACAGTTAATGTGAATTACAGATGCACCTTGCTAACTAAGCTAGCTAACTCCACCCTCTCGTCCAAATATGGTCATGTCTGGTTCCAAAAAACCAAATGACCAGTTGGTTGACCGCCGCTTGAAGATTAAGACAAACGGCGGTCAACCAACGAACCAACAACGTTACACTTTTATATTTGCTTCTGATATCATGGGGTTTGGAAAAGTCCCGGTTTCGCTGCTAAAAGATGGGGCTCCAGGCAGATAGGATGCTCAGTTTATTTGTGTCTACATTTCCTCTGACGACACTGAATCGGAGCAGAATACATACATAGATGACTGACCGTCACAGACCTGCATCGCTGATCAGGCATGCCGTCGTTCATTCTAACAGGGATCCGGAAATTTCAGAGAACAGTTTGCTGTTTTTACCTGATGAGCTTCTGCTGACGTTGCAGCTGCCTGAGTCGCTGCTGCTTTAGCTTCTCCTCTGTCTCGTCCTTTGGCAAACACACTGGGGAGGAACAATGGTGGTAATAATAAGAATAACTTCTCCTCTACAGTCACAGAGTAAATAAAAGAACCAGCTAAAACTGTTACAGCTACATTAAAAATGTAGTAGACCATAATCCAGTAGCACCAGTCAGTAGCTTGTTTTTTTTCTTGTTACTTTTTTTGGACAACGCAGATGTTTCTTCTATATTTACATTGTATTGCATGTTTGCTTATTGTGAAAATAAACCTTTTTCAAAGTATTTTCATTTGTTATAATTTCTTGTTGCTTTAAAAAACTGACACCTATGAGTTATTCATTACTGTGCTGCATTACTTTTTTTACATTACACTTATTTAGCTGATGCTTTTATCCAAGAAATATATTAATATGAGTAACAGGAAGAACTCAACTACATATATTTCAGATTTATGACAAAGTGAAACTTTGCCGGTGATCTTACGCTTTCCGCTCCGCAGCTCTACGTCGCCGTCTGTTGTTCGCAGCCATCTTTCACAAAGGAACACCTGTAGTTTTGGATCCTCAGGTCCAGTCTGACTTCGCCCTCCCTGCTCGGCCTGCCGGTCTGCCAGCCTGCGGACCTCCACCCGGTTGCAGTGCCAGTCCAGGTTGGGGTATCCGGTTCGAGCCTCCAGATGAAGCCGGACCAGAATCAGACGACCCATAGATCGGTTGGCCCGGACCCATACCGGACACGTCTGTCAGGACAGCAGGAAGATTGCTTGCTAGGAATTCAGAAAATGACCAAAACACTAAATAGAGGTTTGATCTCTTTTACATCTGGTGGAAAAGTACTGCGTCAGTTTATCCTTTGGTCAAAGATTAAATAACATTACTGACTATGAGAAACAAGGAACAAGACTTTTTTGTTTAGATTAAATTATGTAGCAGATAAGGCCAGTTCATTTGTTTGTTTCCGGTCAGCGATCAGATTAGAACGCGGAAGTCCCTGAAACCTGCTTTCTATTGAACGGCCAGCAGGGGGCGAGTCCACTGGCTGCAAAAAGAAGTCCAGCTCCATTAGAAATAATGTAAAATGTTTCTACTTGTCAGCTGATTTATTCCCTCAGTAAACACTTTCCTGATGAGTTTCTGGTCTCAGTCGCTAGTTTCAAGTCTTCTTCAACACAGCATGATGTTCATTTAGTAAATTATGGTCCCATTTAGAGGAACAGAGACCAGGAAGCAGAGTATATTTCAGGGCGGGATTATCCATGATTGATAAGACGTTACCATAGCGACCTGTCAATGCAACACAAAGGAGGCTAACGCTACCTGCTAGCACATCGGCCGTGAGACGCTGAAGGGTACATTTGGCGTCAAATAACTATGTTTTGTCACTTTTTTTGAAAGCGTTGGTCTTGGACGCCCTGAGATGAGAACGGTCTGGTCTTGACGATGTGTCCAAACGTGACGACTTGAAACTGAGAACAGGCTGAAGGAAATTAAAACCTTTGAGTCAAGAAGATAATATCGTTCCATTGAGGCAGACGTGTGTGTTTTGTTAAACTACTATTTACTACTAATATAAAGTCAATAATTAACCTTCAAGCTCATTATTTTAGTTTAGTTTTTATTTCTGCATCTTGCACCGAACTCACCGACCCAGGCAGGAGATGACTGTCGCCCTCGTTCACGCTGATGGGCGGAGTCTCCCCCTGCGAGCCAATCAGACTGAGCCACAGGCGGCTGAAGGTTCCGCAGGTTGTACCAGGTGAGGTGTGGACGGTCACTTCAAACTCCTGACAGGAAGCCTTCATGTCGGACATGATGCTGACACAGCTGGCGAGGACAGATTTCACCCGTTAACGGCACCGCTGCAACACTAGACGCGTGGAAGAGATCAGGTCCTGAATTACATTCCCAACAGCAACTGTTTCTGTCACCGTTAGGGTTTTTCTGGTGTTTGGATTTTTCTGTTGTCACTTTGTCAAGCCCTGCCTCTTGTGTCTTGGTGTATTTCACTTCCAGTCTCCTTGCTGTGGTGTTCCTTGAGCCACATATTCATTAAAAAGACCCACCTCTGTTCATTGGCCTTCAAACACAGTTGAGTATTGACCTTCTCTAATGTCTTTCTTGTGTACTTTTGTTGGGAATTCTGAACCTGGAAAGCACTTTGCTCACCTAGGGTTGTTTTTAAATGTGCTATATATTTAAACTTGACCTTGAACTCTACTTACTAGCTTCCCATTATTATTTCTGTGACACTAAAACATCAATAAAGTATTTCTGATTCTGAAACGCCACTCTCCTGGGTGAAGGTCCAGGGTCTGAACCCCCCCGCCCACCTCCTCACTCAGACTTTACTGTTATTTATACTAGGCCAACATTGAGTGTTGAACAATGACGCTGAAGGGCTTTCCAAGGCTGACTTGACCAAGCGTCCGTATGTGACGTCTTTTGGAGGGAGAGCGGTTGCTAAAAACATTTCACACAATTTGGAAACACCTCCTGGATCACATAACATCGTGGACGCTTCCCCATACTGAGGATGGCTAATTAACTGTTTATTTTGTTTGTACTTCATTTTTGTGGCTGTATCACGATGTCCCAGAGGTCGGACTGGGCTGTGGACGGCTAGGTTAGGTGGGGTTATAGGTAGAGAGTTAGAAATTGTATTTCTCTCAGTGGTTCTGGCTCTAGTCTTTATTGATTTTGTATTGAAGCCAAATTTTCCTCGTGATGGACAAACACACTGCTGTCACTGCTGTTAAGCTGAACACATACTTAATGTTTGTTAAATCTTCCTCTGCTGACTCTCATAAGAGCTCATTTGTTTACCTAGCTGATATTTGACTTGGAAATGAGCGACAGTGACCCTTTAGTGTGGGCGTCACACTAGACTCTGTTTCCTGCAGTAAAAACACCCACGGAGAAAGACTCCGATGGAAAAAAAGTCCTACAAAAACAACACTGCACTCTTTCATCCTTTATGGTCACTTCCTTCTCTCATTTTTCCCTGACGACTAAACTTCCTGTTCTTTTTTTAACTGTCGGAGAAATCAGTTGAATATTAAATGTGTATATATAATATGAACAAAATCAATGAAGTTGCTTTTTGTCAACAACTTAAGCCAGTTTAAAATAACACACAGTGCTCAGATATCAACCAACAATTGGACACGTTTCAGATGTTTATGAGCAGTTTTAGCTCTCCTTGTTTTTGTTAAGCAGATGTTGGAGCAACACTTTATTTTACAGGTCTTTTTCATTTTCTAGAACAGTCTAGTGATTTTAAGAAAGTATAGCAAACAGCTCAAATTTAAACCATTTTCATTCATTACTTATTTATTGCTGGAAACTTTATTCCTTTGTTTGTTTGTTTGTTTGTTTGTTTGCTCGGCCGACCTGCTGTGTGACTAAAAGACTCTCCAGGTGACGCAACAAGTAAGTTGGAGTGTTTGTCACTATTGTCCTATAATTCTGTAAGTTCTTTCCAGATTTTTTGGTCAAGGAAATTATTTATTGTTGCATTACTGTGCTGCAAAATGACATGCAGTTAATAAAATTTTTACTGTTAGTGAGTTTAATTATGACATTTTTTGATTTACTCCGACACTGTGGCACGTGTCAGTATTTAGTTGTTACTTGAGAGTTATGTTGTAAGTCATCTTTTTTGTTTTCATAATGCATAAAACACAACTTAGTATTAATTTACATTTAACTATGCTAAGTTTGAACTTTCACACAGCTGGTTGACTTAAAATTGGAAATAATCACATCACTGATTAAAAAAGCATTTGTTTAATTTGTGATTGATTTATCTGAATTATAATAATAATAATAATAATAATTACAATAAAGACATATAAAACCTGATTTAAATGTACAAAAGACAATTTAAGGCCTCAAATTTAATTACAATAGTTTGGGGGAATTTGAAGTCCGTACAGAATCGCAGGCGCCCTGATGAAGTGATGATTTTTCATCTGCCAGGTCAGGCAGCTGTGACCTTTGACATTGTGGACATGTCCTTGTGTTGTCTTTGAGATTCTGGTGGTTTTAATGACCTGAACAGGAGTTTAAATTAATGAAACATAAAATAACACAAGTGAGTTTGTAAAGGTTGATACTGGCATACTGGACAGTTTCTATGTAAATAAATAAATTAACATAAAGGTATCTCTCCACCAACATTATATGAACAGCAGTTTGACCAACTAACAGAAAATATGCCAGTTAAGTTCATAAAATGTGAAGAAAATAGCATCAGCAACAACAACAGAAAAAGTAAACAGATGGAAAAAAGTGAGGTTCTGTCAAATTGGATATTCTCACAATTGATGTGAGTTAAGCGTAAAAGAAATATTACAAGGTAAAAAGTATAAAATTAAATTCAGTATTAAAACTGTGTACACATGTTTAAGTCAGGATCAGGATATTGTGGATTAATATTGTGACTATAACAGACTGCTTGTTAAATTGACTGAAATTAATAAAGAAAGTGAATAACATACCTGCAGAGCGACGCCTCCTCTCCTCTCTGGGCTGCTGTGTTGAATGGCAGCTACAGGTAATGTGCATCTCTTTTTAATGCCCCACCCACCACAACACCTCCACATCCTACTGGTCAACCCTTTACCTGAGCATTTCCTTAACACAACATTAAAATACTGCTTCAACCGGCTGTAAAAGATATATTCAGATCCTTTTACTTAACTAAAAGTACCAATACAACAGTGTAAAAGTCCGACATTCATAATCTTAAGTTACTTGAGTAAAAGCACAGAATGTTGTTACATGTAGTCAAAGTATAAGCAGTAAAGTATTATCAGCTTCATGCAGTAAAAGTACTAGTTGTGTGGTAAAATGTCTCCTGTGACTGACATCTGATACTGGCATTATTAGACTGTTAATACAGCTAGTTTTAAGTACTTTATCTACAGTTTGCTAGTTTTAAGTACTTTATGTACAGTTTGCTTGTTAAACTACTTCATATAGCTGGTGTTAAATGCTTTATTTGGTTAGCTATAGTTTGCACTACTTTATTTACAGTTAGTTAGTTTAAACTACCTCAGTTAGCTGGTGTTAACTGCTTTATTCACAGTTAGCTATAGTTTGAAGTACTTTATATAATGTTACAGTTTGCTTAACTACTTTATCTACAGTTTGCTTGTTTAACTATATAGTTTGCTTTTTTACAGGTAAAACTACCTTAAACAAACAGTTTCTATATAGTAGCTACTTCATTGGTAGATGATACCATAGCAGAGACGATTAGCATGTTTTAGGACTAAGCCTGGCATCAGGTTCCATAGTGTAGCGGTTATCACGTCTGCTTTACACGCAGAAGGTCCTGGGTTCGAGCCCCAGTGGAACCAGTTCTCGTTTTCTTAAATTCATCCATTGAAAAACAAAACGACTCATTATAACAACACTGATCAAGATTCAGTATTAACACGATGTAGAATCCGATATTATCACACGACCAACAGATTTCACAGACAGAAGCTAAAGTGAACACAGTAATATGGAAATACGATTTCCGGTTTCGACAGGTAAACTTCAAAATAAAAGCGGGTGAGGTTAGAACGGGCACAAACAAGATCTTTAAACCGTGTTTCTGCATATTTATTGATAAATCCAGTCCTATTTGTCTTTGCAGCTGTCAAAGACACAACAATAACATGACAAAGTCATCAGCTTGGTGGGAAATAATTGCTTTAATGGTATTTTAGAATGAATCAATGCAAGATCTACATATTGTTTTAACCATTGAGTCCTGCCTTTAGACACTTACCTCATCATGTGATCGGCAATGTTCCGGGGTGATGGGGGGAGAGAACAAAACGTGGAGATGCCGGGGATTGAACCCGGGACCTCATACATGCGAAGCATGCGCTCTACCACTGAGCTACATCCCCACACCGTGCACGAGACCGGCCTGAAATCTGTATTTCTCTGTGCTGCCACGACATAGTTCCTCCTTTTTGTTACAGGTTTTAAGAATTCGGCTTTCACGAGTGAAGCCAGCAATACTGAATATTATCTAGCTGCAGTAGCGGTGGCTGCATTTCCAGGACCCCCGCAGTCCTGGGACCGCAGTTCTTTTGTGACGGCGCCATCTAGTGGAGCGGTGGTGGTAATGCACAGAATCAAAATCAGATTTATAGCCAGGTATGTGTGCACATACGAGGAATTTGACCCTGTACAATTCTCACGATGTGCTTACTTATACAATAACACAATAATACAGTAATAAAATCAAACAGATGCTGCAGTATAGAGAACACATTAACGTTATTATGTACATGTCGGAGGTGGATGTGATATACAGCTGCACATACACATGCAAGCATACATGTACACAGTGCGATGGAGCAGAGTGCAAAGGATGCTGGAATAAACAAGTAATATGTGCAGGTGTTACGTACTTGAGGTAGGTGGGTTTGGTATGCAGTATATACAATATACAAAATGAACAGCAGTAGTTCATCAGAGTGATGGCTTGTGGGAAGAAACTGTTCCTGTGTCTGTTGGTTTTGGTGTACAGCGCTCTGTAGCGCCTACCAGAGGGGAGGAGCTGGAACAGGTTGTGTCCGGGGTGAGATGGATCTGCAGTGATGTTTCCTGAGAAGAAGTCTCTGAGAAAATGTTTCTACCTCTCAGCTGATTTATTCCCTCAGTAAACACTTTCCTGATGAGTTTATGGTCTCAGTCGCTAGTTTCAAGTCTTCTTCAACACAGCATGATGTTCATTTAGTAAATTATTTGCCCTATTTAGAGGAACAGAGACAAGGAAGCAGGGGAGGCTTTAGGGCGAGACTCTCAATCTGTGCTTAGGTGCATTTCGCAGACTTGATAGTCTGACATGAGCTGCAGGCGACAGCAAGGGCGGGGAATAAAAACCTAACCATACATCTAACCCCAGCCTGAGAAAAGCAACCGGACTTGGCGCCGGCAGAAGTCGTTACCATG